GAAGATCAGCTGGAAGGTTCTGGGTAGGGAAGAACCTGGATGTGCTGATCGACAGCTGGCTGGACATGAGGCAGAAGTGTGCCCAGGTGGGCAAGAAGGCCAACGGCACCCTGACCTGCACTGGAACTGGTATGGCCAAGAGGACTATGGAAGTGACTGTCCCATTGTACGTGGCACTGGTGAGACTGCATCTCGAATGCTGGGTTCAGTTTTGGGCCAGAAGGATCTGGAGTTGCTTGAGTGAGTGCAGAGAAGGGCAATGAAGCAGATGAAGGGACTGGAAAACTGGAGTTATGGGGAGACACAGAGGGGACAGGACTTGTTTGGTTTGGAGAAGTGTAGCCTGAGGTGAGACTTCATCACACCCTACAACTCCCTGAAAGGTGACTACAGGAAGGAGGTGTTGGTCTCTTTTGTCAGGTGTCAAGTGATAGGACATGAGTGGGAACAGCTTCCAGTTGTGTTCCAAGAAGTTTTGTTGGATATTAGGAAGAATTTCTTTGTGGAGTGTTGTCAGTCATAGGAACGGGCTGACCAGGAAAGTGGTGGATTCCCCATCACTTTCATTCCATATTAAGGAGATGTGTGGATGTGTCTCTTGGGGACACAGTTTAGTGATTGGATTTGGTAAATCAGGTTGGACTTGTGAACTTGAAGGTCTTCTCAAACAATTGTGATTCCCATATCCCCTATCGTGAGTCAAACCTCCTTCTTATCTCTGATTCTTAGGCAGCAAAGGACGTAGGACACAGGGATGTGCTGTAGAAATCAATGTGACTGCCAAAGCATTCTCCATTGGGTGGTGCCACGGGGTGCTGGAAGCCCCCATATTCCCATACTGTGGCAGCAAGATGAGGGGGCAGGGGATGATTTGGTGATGTTTGCCCATGGAGGGTGGATCACGGGACCCTCCACCTGCCCTAGGACACCCATCTCGTACATGGTAATTGAAGTGCAAGCACTCACATGGCCAGAACAGGCAATGCCCTAGTTTTCTGCAGAGCAAAGCCCCATTTCCCACCTCCACAGCCCTTCTTACTGGAAAATATCTCCCTCTTGCCCAGATGCACCCAGCAGACCCTGCCCACCCATGGATATGGGCAGTATCTTCTTCCTGTTTCCCACCCTATGTGTGGTGATGCAGAGCCCTTCACTCCATCTCTGCCTTACTCTGTGTCCCCAACCACCTGTTCCCTCATGGGGAGCCCTTCCTGGACAGATCCTGTGCTGCCACTACACTCGTGCTTCCACAAGCCCTGGGCAGCCCACCTCCTTTAAGATGGACAGTGGCCCAAAGCCCTTAACTCCAAAGAGGGACATTTCCAGCAGTGACAGCTGTCACTTGAGGGGATATCTCTCAGCAGCTATGGTTGGGAGCAGTCTCTTCTGATGCTCATGGATGAGGAGTGGGAGCCCGTGGGAAGGGGCTGCCCTACATGGCTGTCAGTGTGCATCGGAACCTGTTGTGGTCACAGAGTCAGCAGCCTTGCTGTTCTCAGATATGGTTTTATTGAGGGGGACGGCAGCAGAGGGGCCACTGCCAGGATCCAGGTACGAGGTCAGGCCAGCACCTCACCAGGCCACAACGTTCCCTTCCCAGTCCAGGAAGGTCCCGCTGTCCTTCTCGGAGAGCTTGGAGAGCACCTTCAGCATCCCTCCTACGCTGGCATCCACCGTCAGCGGGGCCTGCAGGGCAGAGGCAGAAACACAGGCGTGTGGCCCAAGGGCTGCCCAGGCTGTGGCCTGGAGCCTGGCTGCAGGAAGGCAGCGGCTGGGCCGAGGGGGAAGCAGAGCCCTGGGAGGAGGCTGAGAGCTGGGAAGGCGGGTGGTGGGGCTGCCAGGAGCCAGGGCTGGCGCTGCACAGGGGTCCCAGGGCAGGGAGAGCTGCCATGGTGCTGACGGAGCAGCCCCCTGAGGGGGTCTTGGGGCAGGGCTCTGGGAGACAGCGGCCTCCCATGGGAAACCAGCACGGGCTGTGGATGGGGACAGCATGGGAAGCTCCTACCGTGGCTCCGCCTGCGCTCCCCATGTCTGTTTGCACCCATCCGGGATGAAGAGCAACACAGAGGATGCCGTGTTCTCGGTACCCCATGGACTGGCACCTGGTGAGCATATTCAGAGCAGCCTGGGGGAGACAGCACAGGGATTATGTGGGGATGAGAAGGTGCAGCATGGGGACACGTGCAGATCCCACGGCTGGGGGATCTGTCCCAGCATGGTTCTCTGCGGTGGGGCCTGGGACCAGTAACAGGAATGTGATGTGAGAGGAAGCCAGTGACTGATTAAAGCTCTGTCACAGTGGATAAAGGTGCAAGAGACTGACAGAGATGATACTGGAGTGATTATGCAGTCATTTGCTGAGAAGTTTGGACTCATATACAACACATACCTTGCTGCACCGGTAAGAGACGCATTGTGCAGCATCCCATAAATACAGTTCTTTGATTGAACCTGTAATGCTGGACATGTTGATGATGGCTGCCTTGCTGCAGCTCATCCCTGAGCCCGGGCTCCCCTGGGCTGCCTTCTTCAGCAGGGGCAGGAACGCCTGTGGGGAAGGGGATGGAGAAGCATTCAGAGGAGGCTCACTGGAAGAGCATATTTCCTTTCATAGTAGTTGGTGCATCAGAACCAGAGAATCAGAGAACGGTTGTTATTGGCAGAGATCTCTGTAGATCACCATTGTGCAGCCACTCCTCCTCAAGAAGAGCCAACAAGACCCTATTGCCCAAGACCTTGTTGAGGGGACTTTTGAGAATCTCAATGAGGGACACTGGACAACCTCTGTGATCAGTCCATGGCAACTCCCAGCCACCCACAAGTGCTGAACAAAGTCAGAGAGCAAATTCTTGTTCTGGCTCAAATCATGATATTCTGCTTTCTGGCATGGGATTGCACACCTGCACTGTTATCATTTCGCAATAAGAGACTCCAGGCTGCAAAGTGCCAAGGTCTTCAGCTTGCTGCCTGATCTCAGTCAAGCCTGAAAAAACGTCCTTCAGACAGCAAGAGACCTGATTGGGTCTTAAAGAACACTGGTCTTGACACAAGGGCAAGGACTCAGAAGGCAGAGAGTGGAGGAGGGTCCCTTCTTTCCTCCATCAAAGATCTCAGGGATGCAGTACATGGATGTTTCTGGAGCTGTGGGTGAGAACTCACCTGGCTCAGCAATAGAGGTGCAACAGTATTGGTGGTGTACACCTCGGACATGTCCTTCAGTGTTTCATTGTCAAGAGAATTTATTTTTGCAATCCCAGCATTGTTGATGAGGAGGTTCAGCCCCGAGCCCTTGAGGCGCTCCCCGACGCTGGCTGCGGCC